CCGATTTCCCTAAGGGCGAAGTAATCTGCAACACCTGAATTGAGGATAGCCTCAACTTCGGCATCATCATCCGAATCCCAGTCGTAATTACATGGCCAGTCCTTGGAGCAGCGGTTACGCACCCTTTGCCACGAAATGCATGACTTTCAGCTTGCTGGATTCCACGTGTGCTCGAGGTCCCCAGAAGAACTGGTACTCTACGGGGCAGCTCCGCGCACCGGCTTATAAATCAGGTACCCTCGGCGCACAAACTCTTCCGTGACGACCTTCTTCGGATCGCCGAAGATGCTGTGCTGCCGGCCGGGCTGCATCCCCAACTTCCCCAGCACTTTCCAGACCAGAGCCTCCTTGGCGCTGTTGCCCATGATGAAGATGAGGGCTAATATGGACATCAGGAGACTTTTCTTGGTGCCTTGAAAATTGCTCCGGGCTACCGCGGGCTTTTGCGCTTGAGCAGTACTGGAGGCTTCCTGAGGGGTGGTGGAGGCCTCCGCTGGAGTGCTGGGGTCTTCTTCCGGGCCGCTAAGGTCGTCCTCGGGGGTGCTCGGGACCACAGACGCGGCCATCGGGGTCTCTGAGGCTTCTGAGGCCTGTATCTTGCGATTGTTGCGGTTCTCTTCGGCGGCCCTCGCGTTACGGCGGCGCCTGCTCTTTCGTCCCCGTGGCATGTCGCTGGCTAGGGGCGCTGAGCCTACAGCAATCCTAAGGGAAGGATGCCTAGAACCCCTGCAGAAAGCGACTGTCTCTACCTTCAGAAGGGGCTACCGCGGAAGCCACCAATGCCACTAGTCTTTGTAGCAAGAAGCCAGACGGTCTCAGCGACAGCGCTCACCCCCACGCAAGCCCACTCGCGGGGACAACCGCCACCTGCACGCGCCCCAGCCGCGAGCGCGCGAGAAGGCTCGGCTGAATCGGCCCCGCCTCTCCTGCCACGCACTCCCCGAACTCTCAAAAGGAAGTGGGCGGCTCCTCCACCCAGACTTCCGCTGTCAGATAGGAACGGGGGCCGGCCCCTGCAGGGGTGGGGCTAGATCCCAAATGAAGACCAGGGATTGGCGAGGTGAGGGGTATGCAGAGGAGAAATGCACAGGGATCATGTATTTTTTCAATCTAGTGCAGGATTGGCTCGCGGGCCCTGGGAAGAAATGTGTCTCTTTCTCCATTCCCACGGAAGGCAGGCAGGGTGTATTTGTGTGGTGGTGGGGAAGGGGCGTGGATTCTTGGAAGGAATCAGCTATTCCCAGCTCTCCCTTCCTGTCTTGGTTTACACAGCGCATTCATCCACTCGCCCTGTTTTCAGAAGGCATTCATGTGTATACTAATTAATTCGTGGGCCCATCTAAGACCCAGATAACGTGGCGACGAGAGGACGTAGAACTGCAAAAGCAAACAGCGCACAAGAGACGCAGGGCCTTGAAAACGTTGTGTATCCAGGGGATGATCAAACAGGGCACTGATTGGCTGCCTCACAGAGGAGCAGACTATTGTCTGGAAGGTCACTCAGGAAGCAATTAGGATAAAAAGCAGGAGGGGATGAAAATGAGCCTTAGGGCGGTTGCCATGGAGATGGAGAGGCAGAAAGGCATTTTAGGGTGACGATGGACAGGCTTTCGAGTCTGATTGGGTGAAAGTGGTAAATGGGGAGAGGGTGGAGTGTAGGTTGGCTCTGAGGTTTCTAGGCTCCAGTCTGCCTGGATACCTGATTTATTTTGCTTCTTTCTTTCTTTCTTTCTTTCTTTCTTTCTTTCTTTCTTTCTTTCTTTCTTTCTTTCTTTCGGTTATCCGAATGTAATTTGGAGCATATTCGGAAGTTACCCACCCCAGGTCTTTGCTCACCGTTTCCTCTGTCTGAATTTCCTTTCCTCTCACCTCCAAGTAGCTACATTCCACCTGTCTGCTCACAGGCCTTTCTGTCCCTGAAGCTTGTCTTGGTCTGCCCCAAAGGGCAATGAGTCAATATTTGCCCCCCCCGCCCCCCGCGCTGAGAGAGAAGTATTTAGGGAAAGCACCGTGTAACTTTCTTTAAAAAAAAATAATGAATTTATTTGGGTGACATTGGTTAATAAAATTATATAGGTTTCAGGTGTACAAGCCTATAATACTACATCATCTGTACATTGCATTGTGTGTCCATCACCCAAAGTCAAGTTTTCCTCCATCATCATTTCCCCCCTTTACCCTCTTCTACCTCCTCCCACGCCCCTTTCCCCGTGGTAATCATCATATTGTCTGTGTCTATGAGTTCCTTTTCTTTTTTTTTCTTAATACCTTTATCTTTTTCACTTCAAAGTGAGCTGATTAGCCAACTCTGCATTATCACAGGAGTGATGGTATTTCCTAAAATTCACCCTAAGATTCTCTGGGGTCTTCAGGGTACTGACTCATGTCAAATGGTATCAGGGATAATATAAAAAAAACCTGCCAAATATTATACTCATGAAATCAGCCTGTGTGCTCTTGTGGACCCTAGTTGCATATCACTGGTAGGCTTTAGAGTCCCTCCCCGATTACTCCTGGACATGCCTTTTCCTTGGGAACTCTAGTCCTTCATGCTTTCTGTTTAAGGGTTGGAATGACTCTGAGAGGGAGGTGAAATATCTGCCTCCTGAAAATAAAATAAGTAAGCAATTACATTAAAGCTCTCTCAGCTGTTAACTGAAATAACAGTTATTCATAACCATTAACAAAAACACTTATTAACCATGTTGTGTTTCTTTCCTTATCATATATACTAGATTCAGCTTGTTGTTATTCATAATATCAATAATAAATAACTTCCTTCTGCCATTCTTTTTTATGGTCATAACTTTTTTTCTTTATTGATTAAGGTATTACATATGTGTCCTTATCCCCCCATTGCCCCCCTACCTCCACTCATGCCCTCACCAGCCCCCCCATTGTATGTGTGCATTGGTTAGGCTTATATGCATGCATACAAGTCCTTTGGTTGATCTCTCCCCCTTATCCCCACCCTCCCCTACCTTCCCTCTGAGGTTTGACAGTCTTATTGATGCTTCACTGTCTCTGGATCTGTTTTTGTTCATCAGTTTATGTTGTTCATTATATTCCATAAATGAGTGAGATCATGTGATATTTATCTTTCTCTGACTGGCTTATTTCGCTTAGCATAATGCTCTCCAGTTCCATCCATGCTGTTGCAAATGGTAAAAATTCCTTCTTTTTTACCGCAGCGTAGTATTCCATTGTGTAGATGTACCACAGTTTTCTAATCCACTCATCTGCTGATGGGCATGTAGGCTGTTTCCAAATCTTAGCTATTGGAAATTGTGCCACTATGAACATAGGGCCTTCTGCCATTCTTAATGTGCATTGTCTCTAGGTGGTCACACTCATTAGAATGCCCAATGTAAGTATGAGGCATCTCATGTCGTGACAGACATAATAACTGGCTTGATATCAAATCCTTGGCAGATGATAGAGCCAGGATTTTTGGCTCACTTCCCCTGATACCACAGACATTGTTGTTTCTACTCTGGGTCATAAATGTCAGATTTCCCATTACCACCACTCTGACTTACAGGGTTTCCTATCTAGATTTATGCAGCAGGCTCCTTCCTGGCTTTACTCCACTTCCAGTCCCTCCTCATCCAACATATGGACATAATAAGTTCCTCTTGGGTGGGCCCTCACTTATTGTTTAGTAATATGCTCTTTAGCCTCCATGTATTTGTGTGTTTTTCTGTTTTTTGTTTGTTTGTTTGTTTTTCTTGTGGTTCAATTCTAGTTTCATACCATTGTGGTTGTGTCAATCCTGTCTGTCCTGAAATGTTTCTTTTGAGAAGTCATCTGACAGTCTTATGGGAACAATCTTGTAGGCATCTAACTGTGTTTCCCTTGCTGCTTTTAAGATTCTCTCTTTGTCTTTAACCTTTGCCATTTTAATTATGACATGTCTTGGTGTGGGCCTCTTTAGGTTCACCTTGTTTGAGTCTCTCTACATTTTCTGGACTTGTGTGACTTTGAACTTCAGCAAGTTAGGGAAATATTCAGCCATTATTTTTTCAAACATGTTCTCAATACCTTGCTCTCTCTCTTCTCCTTCTGGTTCCCCTATGGTGCGGATGTTGCTATGCTAGATGTCCCAGAGGTCCCTCAGACTTTCCTCATTTAATTTTTTTTCTTTTTGCTGCTCTGATTGGGTGTTTTCTGCTACCTTGTCTTCCAAATTGCTGATTCCATCCTGTGCTTTACCTAATCTGTTATTGATTCCTTCTAGTGTATTCTTTATTTCAGATATTGTATTCTTTATTTCTGACTGGTTCTTTTTTGTGTGGTTTTTTAATGTTTACTATCTCTCTTTTTTTTAAGTTCTCACTGAGTTCATCCATTTTTTCCCTAACTTCCTTGAGCATCCTTATAACCATTGTTTTGAACTCTGTATCTAGTAGATTGTTGCCTCCATTTCATTTAATTCTTTTTTGAGGAATTGTCCAGTTAATTAATTTGGGGCACTTTTCTTTGTCTCTCCATTTTGGCTTCCTCTCTGTATTTGTTTCTGTGTATTATGTAGATCTGCTATATCTTGGTTTGGTGGCCATATATAGTAGGTGTCCTATAGGGCTTAGTAGTCTATCTCCCTGATCACCTGAGCTAGGTGCTGCAGGAATGTATCTTTTGTAGGTTATATGAGCTCTCCTGTTGTAGTTTAGTCTTGATTACTGTTGGCCTGTCTGTGGTTGGGGTTGACCTTTAGGCTGGCTGACTATGAGGATTGACCCTAACCATAGTGCTATGCAAGACCTGACCCCTTTGATGTGGCCTGAAGTCTACCACCTGATGTGTTAGTTCTGGGGCTTCTTGAGAGAGACTCTGGAAGAGACTCTGGTGTAGGTCATTTCAGACACTGCTTGTGACTGGGCCTGGGCTATCTGTCTGGAGCCACAAAGCGATCCACAGTTTGTGGCTCCCTCTGCTGGGCCTTGGTGCCCATGGGAGGGGTCAAGCTGCATATCAAGGCCATCTTCCGCCAGCACTGAACCCAGGTTCAGGTCAGCAAAAGGCCCAAGGCACCTAGAGATTCACATGTCTGTTAGGTTTAGTCACTAAAGGAGCCTCTGGCAGTATGTGAGTTGCATGTGGTATGCTCTCAGTGAGTCACCATGTAGAAGCAGGTGGTGTTTACCAGGTTTATACAGATTCAAACTTGGTGACAGTGGTAGTTCTGAGGCCACTCAGCAAAAGTCTCAGACTGTACCAAGGACAGCCACCACCCTCCTGGAACCCACGGACCTCTCTGATGGGTTGGGCTCTCAGGCAGTCATCAGGGTGAAACCAGCAGAGTTCATCAGGTTAAAACAGACCAAGATTTCATCATGTAGAGGGAAGGTTATGCACAGGAATGGTGGAGTCTTTCAGGTGTGTGAGGGGAAAATGGCCCTTGCCCTAGAGTCATACAACTCAGTCTCTTCTTGTGTGTCTCTGCCACTTTCCTGCCAAGTTTGCCTAGACTTCCTTAAGATCCCCGCATGAAAGTCTATACCTCAGTCCAGGCTGGCTATAGTCAGCAGGCTACTCTGCAGGGCTTGAGCTTGGCAGGGTGGGGCCATAGGGAGTCAGAAGGGTGGGGCTAGTGCATTCCCCAAAGCTGATTCTATACTAAGTGGAGTGCTCAACCCAGGAAAGGAAAGATGGCGTCTGCAGTTGGTGCAGGAGAGGGGCCAAGCAAAGAGACCTTGGTGTTTGTCCCTTCAACACGCTCCCTGAGGCCACACGAGCCAGTCCACTCCAAGCCGCCTTCACGCCACCAGAGAGCAGGGTAAGTGGCTGCAAAAGAAATTTTGTTAGCTGGTCCTTTAAGAGGGTGCCTGTTTCTCTAGCACACTCCTGTCTCTCCCTTCAGACAGAATCCTCACTGAATTTCACAGCAGATATTATGTCACAGATTCAAACTTGGT